AAAATAAAATAAAATAAAATAAAATAAAATAAAATAAAATAAAATAAAATAAAATAAAATAAAATAAAAGCATCTCCTGGAGAAGGGAAACCGGAGCTCTGCAAAGCGGCGGTTCCAAGAAGAGAAAAAAGCAACGTGGAGCACGGGGTGCCCCGCACCGCACCCCGAATTGCCCCCTGCTCCGTGGCCGCTGCCAACCCCCGGTCCCGCAGCGATGTGCTGGGAGCGCGGGGAGACTGAAATTCTTCCCCGGAGGGCACGGAGAAAGACATCCTCGCCTTTTGAGGCGGCCCCAGTGGGATCTCTCTGGGAACCCGAAAACCGAGATTCGGAAGGGGTGGGGATGGGGGCCTCGGAGACTCGAGGGGAGCGGCGCGGTCCCGTCCCAGCTCTCACCTCTCGCCTTTCTCCCCTCCAGGAGGTTTGGCACCAAATGCGCCGGCTGCTCCCAGGGCATCTCCCCCAGCGACCTCGTCCGGAAAGCCCGGAACAAAGTGTTCCACCTGAACTGTTTCACCTGCATGGTTTGCAACAAGCAGCTCTCCACGGGCGAGGAACTGTATATCATAGACGAAAACAAATTTGTTTGCAAAGAGGACTATTTGAACTCTCCCAGTTTGAAGGAAGGCAGCCTCAACTCAGGTACGCGCGGCACAGCCCGGGGAACCGAACCGCACCGGGTCGAGTCCTGCCCGCTCCCCACGGACAGCGCTGCGCTCCCGGTGCAGCTCCCGGCGCTGCCGGTGCCGAGGTTTCAACAGCGCCCCGTGGACCGGGAGGGGGTTTGGGGTGCAAGCGTTCACCTCGTGCTCCCCGCGGGACGCAGGCACGCGTTGAGCCCGCAGCTGCCCCACCGAGCCCTCCCACGCACCCTCCGATCCCGGGACCCCCCCTGCGAGGCTGCCCGGTCCCCCCGCGCCGAGGGCCTGATCCTTCGCCTCCTTTCACCCAGAGGCAAAGCTCCCATTTGACTTCCTTGGAAGCTGTCTCTGCGTCAGGACCGCGGGATCAGGCCCCCTTCTGCTGGCCCAGCAGTGCCGGCCGCCCGTGCTCACCCCCTGCCGTGGGCTCTTTCTCCGTTCAGCACCCGGGGCCGGATCCTGCCACGCGAGTCAGTGGGGCCGCTGCTGCGAGCGAGGCGAGTAGAGCTTGGCCTGGGTGATGCCGGCATCAGGGTCCGGGGGGGCGGCTGGGGGAGGCGAGCCAGGTTTAAGGCAGTGACCGGAACCCCCATCGAGCCCATACATTCTTGCATTTCTCCCAGCGGCGCATCCAGGCTCCCGGTGTGAGAAGCGCGGCGTGGGGGGAGAGGGGACGCGCCAGAGGCTGCGGGCTGCGGGAGGCCCCCTCCCCAGCCCCCTCCCGGCTGCACGGCCCCTGTGCAGCAGTGGGCGGGGGGAGCCGCCGAGTTTGCCTTTCAGATGTAGGGGCCGAACTGTAAGATGCTCAACCGGAGCTCATTGTTCTTTGGGGTGCTTCGGGGTTCCTCGGGGGCAACGGCCGTCTGCACCCCTTGCTGCTGCCCAGCACCTCTTCCCCTCTCCTGAAAAGCATCCGGGCTCGGTGGGAAGGGGAGGGCAGTGGAGAGGGGGGTCGATCTCTCTCCTAAGCCATCCCCCCCCCCCCCCCCCCTGCCCCCTCTCTGGGTCTCCTTTACAGTGTCCTCATGTACAGACAGGAGTTTGTCCCCGGATCTCCAGGACCCCATGCAGGACGACACCAAGGAGACGGACAACTCCACCTCCTCGGACAAGGAGACCACTAACAACGAGAACGAGGAGCAGAACTCGGGCACCAAGCGGCGAGGGCCCCGCACCACCATTAAGGCCAAGCAGTTGGAGACCCTCAAAGCCGCTTTCGCAGCCACCCCCAAGCCCACTCGGCACATCCGCGAGCAGCTGGCCCAGGAGACCGGCCTCAACATGAGGGTCATCCAGGTACGGCCACTCCACAGCCATCCCACCGCCCCCCATGATGTCACTGGGCCGGCCCATGACGTCACCAACCTGACTCGCACAGATCCGGGATGGCAGAATTTGGGCTGGCAGCAGGGAAGGGCTGGGGATGTGGATGGGGCCCTGGATGCGAGCACAGGAGATGGAGAAAAGGAGAGGCCACTGTGCCCTGCAGGCAGCCCTGTACCTTCCTACCGCGCTGCCAACCAATCCCCCCGGCAAGAAAATCCCTGAGGAAATGTAGGGATTAATGGGATTTATTAGCGGCGTTAATAGGGGAAGACGCTCCGGCTCTGTTACAGGGAGCCCAGCTCCCGATGGAGGGAAGCAGGACCCGCGGGACGTGTGCGCATTCCAGATGTGCCCAGATGTAGGGGGAAATAGCGCATATCCCTCCTCCCTCCCCACCCACAGGCCAGCAGATCTGTGCTTTGGTGAGAGAACGCCCCCGAGGCAGGAATGCTCCCTGTTGCACCACCTTTCCCTTTTATTCCCGTCCCCATCGGCCAGCTTGCTTCCAGCTCCCTCCCCGCCTCCTGCCGTGACCCCCCCATTTATCCCCTTCTTTATCCCTCTCCCCCATTGGAGAAAACTTTCGGGGCACAGGCAGGCTGTGAGGACGGCGCACCCCACGGCACGCAGGGAGGTGCCGGGGCTTTAGTGACCCCTTTCCTTGCCTCCCAGGGTGTTACCAGCAGGGGGTAGTGTGAAAACAACCCCAAGCTGGGAAATCCCTTCCAGCGAGATATCCCATCCCCGCCCCCATCATCCCTGGCCTAAGTGGGGAGGGCTTGCCCCGAGAATTTGGGGTCCCCACGGCAACCCGGCCCCGAGTGCTGATGCCGGCCCGGCCTCAGGTCTGGTTCCAGAACCGCCGATCCAAGGAGCGCCGGATGAAGCAGCTGAGCGCGCTGGGCGCCCGCCGGCACGCCTTCTTCCGCAGCCCGCGCAGGATGCGTCCCCTGGGCGGCCGCCTCGACGAGTCCGAGATGCTCGGCTCGACGCCCTACACGTACTACGGAGGTGAGGGAGCCGGGCCCCTCGTCCCGTCTCCGTGTCGTCCTACCGCGTTCTTCCCCCGTTCCCTTCCCTGCCTTTGTTCCTCTCCATCTCGACTCTCCCTTTCCCCTGCCGCCCGGACTCGGGGCGGTGGCAGCGGTGGCGGTGGCAGCAGCGCGGCCCCTCTCCCTGGAAACAAAGCCTCAGCTGCTGACTTCTGCGCCCCTTTCAGGCTGCATTTGTCCCAGTTCCCCCCCCCCCCCCCCCGGGCCTACAGCTTAGGGAAGGTCACCGCCACCCTGACAGGACGGGGTGGGACAGGGAGCCCCAGGGCATTTGGGACAGTATATCCCGCTTTTGGGCAAAGAGCTCTCACCAATTCCCCTCTGCCCCCACTGCTGCCAGAACCCCTCTGTAGCTAATATATATAAGTATGATGTGTGTTTTTCCTCCTATAAGTAAGTATAGTATAGTAAGTATATTTTATTTTTATATGTCTCCTATAACTCACCTTTATTTATGTGTCTCCTTTACATGTATCTTCCTATTAGATATGTATATAACTTTTATCTATATTTATAAATGCATACGTGCATGTATATATATGTGCAGGTATATAGACGTGTGTATTTTTCTTAGTTGTAACTAAGAATGAAATTATGCCTACCCTCTCCCCCTGGGGCTGCCCCCAGCCCCTCCTGTTCTCCACTTCCCCCCCTTTCCATTCCATCAGCACTGCAACCATAAGTACAGAGGTGCCCGTTTTTCTCCCTGCTTAGTCCCACGTTCGTTCCAGCAGCAACGAGCTCCCCAGGAGGGTATTCTGGAGGGGGGAGGGGGAGGCACGCCCGTCCCTGCGTGGGGGTGCAGCTCTACTTCCCGCAGGCGCTCAGGGTGGTGGCTCGGGGACCGGCTCCAACCTTTCCCCACCTTTGCAGATTACCAAGGTGACTACTACGGGCCGGGAGGCAACTATGACTTTTTCCCCCACGGGCCCCCCTCCCAGGCCCAGTCCCCGGCCGACCCCAGCTACCTTCAGAACTCAGGACCCGGCTCCACGCCCCTGGGACCCCTGGAGCCCCCCCTAAGCGGACACCACTCCTCAGAAAACCAAAGGTACACGGATATGATCTCGCACCCCGACACCCCCAGCCCCGAGCCGGGGATGACGGGCTCGCTGCACCCCATCCCGGGGGAGGTCTTCAGCGGGGGGCCCAGTCCGCCCTTCTCCATGTCCAGCAATAGCGGCTACAGCGGGGCCCTCGCGCACCCCAACCCGGAGCTGAGTGAGGCAGCGGTGTGGTAGGGCCGAAGGGGAGGACTCCCCCGCCCCCCAGCCCCGGGGCACGGCTCTCCGCGACCCCGTCGACGGATATCGGCCCCTCCGACGCCGCGGCCGCTCTCCGACGTCCGACCGCATCCTCCCAACGCGCCTCCCCCCCCCCCCCCCCCCCCCCCCCCCCCCCGCGGGGACACCGCGCTCCCTCCCCGCCCGCCCGCACCGCTCCGCATCCCCGTGCTGTTATGAGTGGGGGAGAGGGGGGCGAAACGCGCCCGGCCCGGAGCTCCCCCCGCCGCGTCGGAACCGCCGCTCTCGGACCAAAGCTGAACTCTGCAGAACGCGGGTCCCACCGCTGCGGGGGCTGCCGCGGGGATCCTCGCTCGCTAATCAGCACCCATTTTAATTATCCCCTTCTTCAGCCTCCGTTCATCCGAGTATTACAGTGGGGGTAACGGGGGACAGCAGGACGCTCCCTAAGCCCCCTCCCGGGACCTTTTCCCGTTGATCCTGCTTCATCCCCGAGGAGGAGGTGGTTTTGTACTGGAATTTTGGTGATGGATGAACAGGGGGGCGGGGGGAGGGGTGTGCGGAGCTTGGGAAACCCGGGAAGAGGCAGAAATGGGAAAAGCAAGCAGAAACAGAGAGAAAAACGGAGAGAACACCCGAGCAGTGCGGCAGCTCAGGAGGGCCGAGCCCCCCCGGCCCCGCGGTCTGAGGATGTATTATAGTTTTTGCTTCTAGTTTCTTTATTTTGTATAAAGGAGAAACAAATAAAGTATGTTTTTGTGTTTACTGATTATTTATTGTACTTTTAGTCATTGGAAGCTCTGAGTTTTTTTCTATTTGGGAGGCTGGGAAAGGGTGGCGGTGAGTGGAAGGAGAGAGGATAGAGCAGGGTGGGGGGGGGGGGAAAGGGAAAAAGAGAATGGAAAAGGAAGAAAAAAAGTTGTGTTCTGAGCGTGGGTTTCCTGTCCCCACTGCCTCTTGCAGAGGCTGTCAGTGTGACCAGCTCGTGTTGTTCGATGTGAATAAAAATCATTTTAGTTACCTGCTCCGGCACCTGGTCCCTTTCATTGCGGGTTTTGAGCGATGAGCGGCGCCCAGCTAATATTTAAAATGCAAAATCAAGGCAAGAGTGTATCCCCCCCACCCCCCGCCTTGTCTTGTAGTAAAAAGGTATAAACAGAATAAATTACCTTCCCTCGCTGGCTTCCAAGAGCCCCTCTCTCTGACCTGAATTTTAAGTCCCGGCTTGGTGGTGCCGCCAAGAGCTGGTGATGGATGACAGGCAGCCACCTCGCTGCGTATTTTCCCTGTTCAGCCAAGCGGAGGAATTTATCCTTCCTGTGCCATGATGAGTGGTAATGAGGGGCCGCAGCCAAGCAGGGGGCACCCGAAGGACTCAGCATGAGGGAAACTGAGGCACAGACCCGCTGGGACCCCAGAGCAATAGGATGCGTACGGGCGGTTTGAGGGCCAGCAGACCTCCCTGCCACTGTCATTAGGAGGGCTGCAAAACAGAGCACAAGGGCACGTGCTGGCTGCTATTGTTACGAACACTGTGTTACTACTGTCCTGCTGGTTGCAGGGTACACCAAGCCACAGCACCCATCCCAGGCTGCAGGGGGGAGGTTGGCATGAAGTGGGGGCTCCGTGTGAGAAGGTCGGGGTGCAGAAGCTGGAAAGTAATCTGTTTCTGGACCCAGGATAAAAAACTGTGGGAGGAGGTTGGTCTGACTCCTTATAATTAATTGTGTGCCTTGTAATAAGACTCTCCAGCCTCCAGCACTCCCTAGAAACACGTTTTTACATAAGATATTGCTCACAGTGGAGCGGTGGGTATTTGATTTATGGGGTGGGTCCTCTGGGAAGCAAGGTGTGGGCTGGCCAGGCTGAGGGGATTTATTGGGGAAAAGGGAAAAAAGAAGATGGGGAGGAGGAGGCTCCTGGGAGGCGGCTGGGCAAGGGGAGCCTTGTTAACTCTCTGGGGGGGCAGGAGAAGGCTGAGAGGAGTTTTGTGGCAGGAAAGGGCAGAATGGACACTGGAGTGAAATAGATCAACTGAAGCGAGTTGGAGCAGTGGTGTTAACTGGGCACCAGTCAGAGCCGGGAGCGCCAGCAAGAGCAAGGCCCTACAGCCCTGCCAAGGAGCCACCTGGCTGCAGACAGTGCAGCAGGAACAGAAGATTGTAAAAATTAATAATCATTAGAATAATAACACATTGAGACAATAGCAAAGTAGTCAGTCAGAGGGAGCATTCACTAATTGGAGTGGGGAACCATGGTCTGTGCCAGCCACAGCAGTGCAAGGGACGCGGCCGTCCCCAGGGCAGAGGGAGGAACGCCGCCGCGCCTCAGTTTCCCCATGCTGCACAGTGATGGGCGCGGGTCACGTCCAGCAGCCGTCACTCACTGCAGCACAGGGGGCCACGGGGTGGCCATGCAGTGGCACAAGGGTCACTCCAGGCCCAGCTGGCTCTTCAGGTCCCGCAGCAGCGCAGCCGTCATGCTGCTGCCGCCGCAGACCACCAGCACCACGCGGCCCAGCGGGGTCCCCAGGCGTCCCTCATGCTGCAGCTGCTGCAGTCGCCCCGAGTAGAGCAGGGCCAGTGCTGCACCACAAGCTGGCTGCACCAGCATCCGCTCGTCGTCTGCAGGGATGGAGACATGCTGAGTGCCTGTCCCCATCACACCCCTCTGCAAGTCCCTGTCTCTGTGCCCTGCTCACCCAGGAACCTTTCCACAGCGCGCACGGCCTCGGCATCCTCCACCACCTCTGAAATGACCTGGATCTCCTGGGCACACTGCAGCGCCCGCGCTGACACAGTCTTGGCCCCCAGGCACTTGGCCACACTGGAGAACGAGTCAGAGTAGCCCTGGGATCCTTTGTCCCCTTGGTGCTCCACTAGAGCATTGGCTGAGACCTGCCAACTTGTGACATGCACCAGAGGCGAAGCCCCCTGCACTTTCTATGTCCCATCAGACTGAGGACCCCTAGGCTGATGGAGGTGCCCCCATGCTGACACCAGCACCCACCTGGTGATGTCAGGCAGGGTAACGAGGTGCCCAGCCTTCAGTGCCGCGTGGAAGCTGTGGGCCCCCCAGGTCTCCGCGGCAATGATGGGGACATCAAGCCATCCCACCTGCTGCAGCCCAGCCACCACGCCAGCCAGCAGCCCTCCACCTCCCACTGCCAGCACGATGGCGTCAGGTTTTGCATCCAGCACGTCCTTCAGCTCCAGGACCAGGCTGGCATGGCCCTGCCTGCGGGATGGAGACAGTGGGTGGCTGCCTGTGTCCTGTCCAGAGCACAGGGGCGAGTAGCACTCACCACAGCAAGGGGTGGTCAAAGGGGTGGATGCTCGCCCAGCCCTCGTTCTGCGCCAGCTCTAGGGCTCTCTGGTTGGCTTCATCCCACACCTGGGAGGCGGTGGGCGCTCAGTGGGGCTGCCGCCAGCTCCAGTGCGCCATCCCCATTGCCCCTCCCTTGCTGCCATGAGGACAGTGGAAATCCAAGTGGCGTGTGGGTGACGCATTTTGGGACAGGGACACTGGGTCTGCACACATCCACAGCCTCGCAGAGGGCTGCGATCTCCTCCAGCCACAGTTTGGGGCATGGGTGCCCTACCTTCCCATAGGTCTCCACCGTTGCCCCCAGCTCCTCCAGCCTGTGCACAGTGCTGGGGCCGGTGCTGCTGGGCACCACCACAGTGATCGGCAGCCCCAGCTTCCTGGCCGCATATGCTGCAGCCATGCCAGCATTCCCCCCTGCAAAAAGTAGTGGGTTGAGCAGTTCCATCGCCCCCCATACCCAGCTCATCCCAGACCTACAGGACAAACTTTGCTAGGGGGGAGAAGGGACACCTGATCTGGATCAGCGCCAGCCCCAAAACCCAGTGGGAAGGCACAAGGACAAGGGGCCGGGAGCACAGGGGTGTTCCCTAGCACCTCCATCCCATAGACCCCTCGAGCCCCACGCAGGTCCCAATTACCTGAGGAGCAAACAAAGTGCCGGCAGCCCTTCCTGGCAACCTGCGGAGAGGGAAGGGGACAGAGGAAGGACGTGGCCATAGGAATCCACTGTGAGCCGAGGCCACACAGCCATGTAGCACACCCACCTCCTGGCAGAGGCGCCCGACGCCCCGGATCTTGAAGGAGCCAGTGGGCTGCACGTTCTCCAGCTTCATGTAGACCTGGGTCCCTGCTGCCCGGGACAGGGGCAGGCTCTCCAGGAGCGGGGACACAATGTGGAAAGTCTTCTCGCCCCCCCTGCATTGGGCTGCCATTACTGCAGGATGCTACGTGAGAGCTGGTGCGGGGCTTGCTGCACGTCCCAGAACGACGCTGGGGGACCGAGGAGGGCAAAGTGACGTCAGAGGGGCTGTGGTTGCGTCCCTGGGTCCTTTGTCAGCAGATTTGAGGACTTTGCTCTATTGGCCCAGGACGGCAGTCAGCCCTTCCAGGCAGCTGTAGCATGGCTCGTTGGCACTGGAATTAGCACACTGTGTCCCGGTCACAGCAAGTGCTGGGGGAAGGGCTCCTGGCGGGGCTGCACTGCTGTGGGGCCAACAGCCCTGCTCTGCCCTGGGACAGCCTCTTCCCATCAACCTCCAGTTGAGGCACCCCCCACACCAACACACTCAGAGCTGGCTCTGCCCTAGGCAGGGAGGAGCAGGATGGGTCCTGGCAGGACAGGGATGTGCTGTTCCGGAGGTGACAAATGCTGGTGTGTGCCAGGAATGACAGGGGCACAGCCAGGTCCGAGGCCGTGGGACATCAGCCAGCCTGGACCCGGTGGGAACCTCTTACCTTCAAAGCACTGTCTAATGTCAGCTCATTAATCCCCCAGTAATTACCTCGTTATTCCTAACGAGCCACACACATGGAGCGGATCAAGGGAGCTGCAGTAAGAGGATTTTGCGCTGGAGGTTTTGGGGCTGGGGGGGCACACAGGTGGCTGAGGAAGGGAAACAAAAGGGACAAGAACGGTCACTCTGTCCTGGCGCAGGCAGTGCCCCCCCTCCTTCACTGCTTGCCTGTTCCAGCTGTGCATGCTGCTGCTGCCAGGAACCAGGGGAGGCATCGCTGAGCAGTCTGAGCAAAGGCCAAAAACCCCGACCCGCTGTGTCCCAGCACTGCACTGCAGGCACTGCTCTGTGCTCCTGGAGCAGCACCCAGCAGAGAGGGAAGCACACCAAACAACATCCCTGAACAGGGTACCACAGCACGCACCGCAGAATGCTGGAAGAGTATGAAGTGCAGTCACCAGCATCTCCATTGCACACAGAGCGTTTTATTTGTTACACCAACCCCGGCCATTGACCCCTCCCTACCATGCAGCTGTCCCAGCGCCAGCCCCACCTCCTGGAACCCGTCTTCCAGGAACAGCCTCCCAGAATGAGGAGCCCTGTGGGAGGCCTTCCTTCCGCGCTTGGTTTTGGAACTGGGGTCAGAGCCCACTGACCGACCCCAGCCACGGTGGCACGGATGGGGCACAGGAGCAGCAAATGGTGAGAGAAGCACGGGGAGAAAAACACGGGGGGCGGTTCCCTGCAGCCCCCCATCCTGCAGAAACAGGGAAAGGCTCAGGGGAGGTCCGGCTCAGTCCCATCGGACTTTGACAGGAGGGAACCTCCAGAGGTCAGGGTGGCCCATGCGCAGCAGGTGGCTGCATGGCGATGCGCTCCAGCGGAAGGGCGGCACATCATCCCATGTCGGCCCGCTGGCAGCCACCAGCCCGAAGGTGCGGGCCATGCCAAAGGAGGTGACCTGGCGGAGGGGGTAACGTGGAGATGTGAGTGCCAGGAAGTGACAGCATGGCAGGGCCCGGGGCTGTGCCCACCTTGGTGTCAGTGCCGCCATGGCAGCGCTGGCGCAGGGCGTCGAAGGGGTAGGTGCCGTTGGCTGGGTTGAGGTCAGAGCGGGCGGAGATGGCGTTCTCAGCGTTGTGGGGCGGGTCGCAGCCCCGGCACTGTGACAGCGGGTCCTGCAGGTAGTTGTTGGACCTGCCGGGCAGCAGGGAGAGAGACCGGGTGCAGGAGGTAATACGACAACTGCAGTGAAGATCTGACACAAGGGCTGGAAAATCCCTGGGGCCAGCACCCACCTCATCAGACGGACCATGGAGTCCACATCACGGACCTGAGTCTGGTTCCTGCGAAAGATCTGGGCGCGCGGGTTCTTGTCATAGGTGAACCAGTCACCATACTTCTGCACCAGCTCCAGGTTCCCGCTGGCATTGAAGATCTCCTCAAAATACCTGGATGGCAGGGTAGGGACAGTCAGCCTTGCCTGCCCTCAGCATAGGACCATACGGCTGGGCAGAAAGGTGAGGCTGGATGAAGCTTACGGCACATTGTAGCTGGCCCAGTACCCCTGCTGGTACAGCAGCTCTGTCTTATCAGCCACCATCACCAAACCCCTGTGGCGGGAGGATGGCAGCAGTCAGAGCAGAAGGCAAAGCACAGCACGGATGAGGGAAAACCCACCTGGAGGTCTCAAGCAGGGGGCCAGGAGCCATCACCCACACGCAGGAGAGCCGTAAGCAGCAGCCCCGCTGCTGTCACACCTTGGCAGAAAGGCTACCACCAGCAAAGGAAGCCCACCTCACCCACTGGGCAGCCTGCGGGCCGGGCACTGGGGGGCGAGAGGCACTCACGGGATCTGCTCCAGCACCGTCAGCAGGCCCTGCTGCAGGGCAGCACGCCCCGGAGAGAATGCCTTGTAGTCCACCAGCATCCACTGGTTGTTGTACCTGCAGGAAGGCACGGTGACCTCCTTTGGTGGCTGCCCTGAGGAGGGGACGTTTCTCCCCCAGCCCTGACCCTGCTCACGTGCCACTGTTGAAGCGCTGGAAGATGCCAGCCCACTCAGCACCGCTGCGGGCCAGCCGGTTGGCCACGATGTTCCGCAGCCACTCCAGGACGCTGCCCTGAGGCCGCAGGTACCGCCAGCGTGCCTCGTTGCTGTTCCCGATGGTGGTCTCCAGTGCAACCTGTGGGGACAGGAAGACTGAGCGGGGCCGGTGGGGGACGCAGGGCTGCAAGCGGCACTTACCAGCCTGCTGCTCAGGATGTAGAAGTCATCTCCAGAGAAGATGGTGCCGGGGTAGGAGGAGAACACCTGGATGCTGCCCGGGACGCGGGCGGTGCCTGGGAGAGCAGAGCAGGTCAGGCAGCAGGCAGGGGCACAGAGCAGCGCCCGGCCCCACACGCACCACTGGGTTCAGCATGGAACGGCAGCGTGTACTTCTTGATGAGGCGCAGCATGGACTGGTAGGGCGCCCAGGTGTCGTGGGCCACCAGGAGGTCCCGGCGGCCTGGCAGCAGCTTGAGCAGTGCTGAGCACGAACCGGAGCCCAGTGGGCGCCGCGGGGCAGAGTGGTTGAAGGCCGCCTCTAGGTCCTCCAGGTCCCCCCCCAGCTGCAGCAGACTGCGGGCAGCAGGGCGTCAGGCCGGAGCAACCTGCACCGAGTGCCGCTCCCGGGGTGGGGGGAGGCTCGGTGTGCCCAGCCCGGGGACGGACCCTTCCTTACAGGAAGCCGAAGGGCGAGAGGGAGAGGCGGCCGGCGGGGAGGGCCACGCGCCCGCGGTAGCTGTCCTCCAAGCCCTGCAGCTGCAGTAGCGCCAGTCGCACCTGGGGGTAGACGGGGAGGCGGGACAGGGACCGACGTTACTCTCGGGCCTCGCGGTGCGGGGCCGACTCCCGAGGGCTGCGGGGCCCCGGCCCGGACGGCCTCACCTGGTGCCAGTAGGCACGGTCGCGGCCGGAGCCCATCTGCTCCTCCATCCAGGCCAGGTTGGCCTCCAGGTATCCCCGCAGCCGGCGGCAGTACTGCGTCTCGTAGCGGAAGGGCCCGCAGTAGCCCACGGCCGTGTTCATCCAGTGCATGTAGATGAGCTGCGGACACAGCGCTGGCACCCACTGCCGCCGGCACTGCCCCGCGCCCGCGCCCCGCACCCGCGCCCCGCACCTGCTCGGTGACGGCGGCCTCGGCCAGCCCCGCGGCGTAAGCCTGCAGGCTGTCGTTGAAGGACGCGTTGGCGGACACCTCGAGGAACGCCCACCTGCAGCGTGGGGCACCGCTCAGAGCGGGAAGCGCCCGGGCGGCCCTGCGCTGCCCCGCACGGCCCCGCACAGCCCCGGGCCCTTACCCGACGGCCTGGATGTGGTCGGTGAGCTCGGCCCAAGCGACGGCGGCGGGCTGGCGGCCAGGCAGCACGCGGAGCCGGCCCGAGCCGGGCTCCAGCAGCACGGAGGCGCTACGGGGCGGAGGGATCGGGCCGGACGCGACCCCCAGCATCCACGCGGCCACCGCGGCGGCCGCCAACAGCGCCCGCACCACCGCCATCGCGGGAGGGGCGGAGCCGCGCCTGGGGCGGGGGCGTGCCGAGAAGAGGCGGGCGGGGTCCGAAACGAGCCGCGCCCCGCCGTGCCCGGGTGCCCGGGTCTCTTCCGGCCGCCCATTGCCCTGCGGGTACCCGTTCCCCTGTGTACGCCCCGGTCCCCCGACATGCCACGCCCTACACGCTTCCTCCTCCCTCTTCCTGCCAACCCCCCGTGGCCACAAACGCTCCCTCCCAGCCCCACGTAGGGCGGACGCGACCGTCAGCGTCCCGACCCCGGCCACACCGTGCCCGGCAGGTGGCAGGTGGCAGCCCCGCGGCCCCTCCTGGCCGTGGCTGCCCACCCCCGCCGTGAGTTGTGCGCAGTGCGTGACACGGGAGCGCGGGTGACGCGGGAGTGCGGCGGCAGCCCCGGCCTTACGCAATCGCGGCTGTTTACCGCTCCCCCCCCGCTGCGCTCGGCGGGCAAAGTCCCCAGGAGGCGCCAAGCGGGGGCAGCGGGCTCGGAGCCCCCCCAGCCGCGGGGAGCATGCGGCTCCCTCGGCCCGCCCTGCGGCACCCGCCCTGTCTCACCCCGACCCCCCTCGGGTGCCCACCGGGACCTGGTACACTCGTGTCGGCGGCGTCACACCGCCAGGCCGACCTACGGCCCCGCACCCACGGCCACGCCGAACGCGGTGCCCTGAGAGTGCCGGGCGGCGGGGGCTCTACAGGGTGGCCCCCCCGGTCCCCTTCTTCCTGTGCTACAAAGAGGCGCTGTCGCTTTAAGAGCGGAGAGTGGCGGCCCCTTTAAGGCAGGGTGGAAATCAGCTGCCCGTGCACGGCGGCGGGGCTGCGTGACACGGCGAGGCGGGGCGGGAGGGTGCCCGCGTAGCCCCGGCAGCCCCGGCAGCCCCGGCCCCAGCAGGACTTCGTCCTCGCCTTTCGTCGGGTTGCCGCCGTCCCCTGGATTTGGGTTCCTTCCGCGGTGCTCCGTGCCACGCTCAGCCCCGCTTTTCTCCTCCCGCGGGAGCAGAGCGGGGACTTGGCGGCTCGATGCAGCGCCGGGGCTGGTAACCAAGCCGCAGCCCGTGGCCTCTTTTAATTCCTATTTCTGTTTGTGTTTTTAGCTCTATTTTTAACCCTATTCCTGTTTTGCATTTCCATTTTCCTCTCCCGTTTTCATTCCTATTTCTATCCCCGTTTTCTCTTTCCGTTCGTATTTCTACTCCTGCTCCTGTCCCCGTCTCTCCCCCCGGCCATGGCTCCCGCCCCTCGCGAGCAATAGCCCCCAGCATCCGACCCCCGAAGCCTGAGCTGTCTCCGAGCCGTGGGACGCGATGGGGCCGCTGTGGGCGCTGCGCGTGGCCGGGGCGCTGAGCGTGGCCGGGGCGCTGGCGGGGCACGGCGGGTCCCAGCGCTCGGGGCCGCCGGCGGCTCTGGACGCGGGGACCCGGGGTGACGGCGCGGGACACGACCGGGGCGTGGACGTGAGTGGGGACGCGAGGCGGCGGGGTGGCGGGTCCTGCCCTTGCGTCGGCCTCCGCCGCCGCCCCACGGACATGGGACGGAGGGGGAAAGCGAGGCAGGGGCGGAAGCGGCCGCGACCCCGGGGGTGAGCGCCGTCCGCCCGCTAGGGACGCGTGTGGGACACGCGGCTCTTCCCGCAGTGCCGGGAGGTGCGGAAGCGCAACAGCTCCGAGCGGTGCCGCTTCGTGCGCGGCACCCCGGACTGCCGCCTGGACGACGGTTTCCTCGACTACCTCGGCGGAGCGTTCTGCGCCTTCCCCGCCGCGCTGCTCCCGCTGCCCGTCGGCCTCTACGTGAGCGCGGGAACCGGGGGAGGTGGGCGGGCGGCCCCGGCTGGAGGATGCTCGGCCACGGGCGACGCAGCAGCTCTCTGCCCGCAGGTGCTTTGGCTCCTCTACCTCTTCGTCATACTCGGCGTGACGGCAGAGAAGTTGTGAGTTGTCCCGGGGCCGCGTGGAGTGAAGAATGGTCTGGCGCTGTGGCCCTGTGCCCTCATCACCCCACTCTGTGCTCTTCCAGCTTCTGCCCCAACCTGTCGGCCATCTCCACCACCCTGAAGTTGTCCCACAACGTGGCAGTATCCTTGGCCTCCTGCGGATGGGGGCGCGGGGCAATAATGGGGGATGTGATGGGGACCCGACGTGGTGGGATGCTCCTTGACGCCTGCTCTCCATGGTGTCACCTTCCTGGCCTTTGGCAATGGGGCCCCGGATGTCTTCAGTGCTGTGGTGGCATTCTCCGACCCGCGCACGGCTGGGCTAGCGGTTGGGGCCGTCTTTGGTGAGCGCTGTGCTGGCCAAAGGGGTGAGGGGCACGGGACCCTGCTGATGGGCTGCGTTGCGTTGGCAGGCGCCGGCATCTTCGTGACCACGGTGGTGGCTGGTGGCATCGCCCTGGTGAAGCCCTTTGCAGCAGCCTCCAGGCCCTTCCTCCGGGATGTCATCTTCTACATGGTGGCCATCTTCCTCACCTTCCTGATCCTCTACTTTGGCCACATCACACTGGGGGAGGCTCTAGGTGAGCATCGTGGCAGGGCAGGGGCTGGTGGGGCAGCCCAGGGGTCCTGTAACCTCTCTGGCCCCACGGCAGGGTACCTGGGGCTCTACATCTTCTATGTCTTCACTGTGGTGCTGTGCACCTGGATTCATCGCTGGCAGCGCGGGGATGGACCATCCCAACCCGGGCCGTGGGAGCCAGGTAAGGAGTGCTCTGCGGTGCTGGGAGGAATCCCTCAGCACCCCCCACTTTCTCCTTGCTCCCTCACAGCAATACCAACAGATGCTGAGGAGCAGGAGTCCTCGGGCACCAACTGCGGAGACTATGGTAGGGTGGGCTGTGAGGCCGTCTCAAGCGGTGGACTGGGTGCAGGGAGTCTTGCGGAGCACAGCCCTGTGGCCCCACACAGGTGAGGAGTATCGACCCCTGCTACCCCACCATGATTCCTCGCTGCACATACTTGGCACTGCACTCAATCCCCTGGACAAGCAAAAGTGGAGGAGGAAGCCCTGGTACTGGCGGCTCTTCAAAGTGCTCAAGGTGAGCAGGAGGGGATGGGAGAAGGGCACTGTGCTGGGGGGTGCGGCACTCACGAGCCCCCTCCTCCCAGGTCCCTGTGGAGCTGGTACTGCTGCTCACTGTGCCTGTGGTGGACCCCGACAAGGACGACTTGAACTGGAAGAGACCCCTCAACTGCCTGCACATCATCACTGGGCCTCTGCTCTGCATCCTCACCCTCAATTCGGGGGCCTGTAAGAGCCTGTGGTATCCTCATAGCCCTGAGGAGGGGCTGAGACTGGGAGCCATGGCCCAGCACTGAGCTCCTTGGGGCCCCTCTATCCAGGTCTTGGGGGAGAAACAGGGCAGGAGAGTGCTGGCTTCAGGGGACAGGGCTCGGTACTGTGCCTTCAGGCTGGTGAGGTCCTGCCCAGCCTGTGGGGCCACAGTTGCCCTCTCTGTCCCTGATGCAGATGGGCTGTACCAGATCCAGGGCGTCTTCCCGGTCTGGGCGCTCGTTGCACTGGCTGGATCCATCCTGGCCATCATCATCTTTGTGACCACACGCAATGAAGAGCCACCCAAATACCACTGTGTAAGGTGCCCCTGGCCTCAAGTACCATGTGGGCAAGGACAGTGCCTCCATTGCCCCGAGAAGGTGCAGCCAGGGCCCAGCTCACCTGGTCCCGGCAGGTATTCGCCTTCCTTGGGTTCCTGGTCAGCGCTATGTGGATCAATGCAGCAGCCACAGAGCTGGTGAACATCCTGCGGACCCTGGGCATCATCTTTGACCTGAGTAACACTGTGCTAGGCCTGACCCTGCTGGCCTGGGGCAACAGCATTGGAGGTAAGAGCCCTGTGTTATCTGCCTTTGTGGCACGCTGTACCGCAGTGGGATGCAGGCCCCGGCATCTCCTGTTCTTGCCCTGCAGACACCTTCTCTGACCTCACCATGGCACGGCAGGGCTACCCCCGCATGGCCTTCTCTGCCTGCTTTGGAGGCATCATCTTCAGTATCCTTCAAGAAGCTGGGGGGTGGGGTGCTACTTGGGCCTGCTTCTAGGGGACCTGAGCTGCGCAGAATCCATCCTGGAGTCTGCCACAGGGAGGGAGGGGAAGAGGCTGCACCTCCCCAGGGTGCCCCAGACCATGCCAGAGCCACCTGTCCTCGAGCACTCTGAACTTTGATGGCCTTATCCAGGCCTGGAGAGAGGGATGGTGCTGTCCCCATCCCGAGGGCTGGGGGGGGATGCCGTGCTGTTTCTTCACCCTGAACTGCCCTCAGATATTCTGGTGGGCGTGGGGCTGGGCTGCCTGCTGCAGATGACCAGCAGCCAGATGGCAGTGAAGGTGAGGCTGCTGGCCACAGTACGGGGCTGGCACTGATGGGATCCCCTCGTCACACGGTGTCCCTCTGTCTCTCCATCAGCTGGAGCCTGACAGCCTGCTGGTGTGGATCTTGGCTGGGGCCCTGGGACTGAGCCTGGTGTTCTCCTTAGTGGTGGTACCGGCACAGTGCTTCCAGCTGGGCAGGGCATACGGCACCTGCCTCATCCTCTACTACTTGGCCTTTCTCTGTGTGGCCCTGCTCACCGAATTCCAGGTGATCCACCTGGTTCCCACCTGAGCACTGCAGGTCCACGTCCCTGCCCTGCTGCAGCCTGCTGGGCCACACATTTGCTCTCCGGAGAGAAAGCTGGTTGTGTTTTGGGAAAGAAAGAGCATTTGTTAAGCACTAGCCATCTCCTCGCTCCGCTCTGTTGAACTTCGTTTAACTTGGGGCGTTTCTGAACAAGGATGAGGGTAAAGGCTTGGTTGGCTGCTGCCTCAGGGCATAGGGCTGGAGCAGCTGCAGGGGAGCATGCGCTAAGACACCCCTTCACCTCTCCATCTGGGATCCTCTGGGGCTGGCAGCCATGCGCTATGGGGAAACTGGAAAGTAAAGGCTTGAGTGCAAATTTGGGAATGCCTGTCATTGCAAGGGGCAGCAAGCCACCAGCGGGTGAATTGAAAGAGCAAGCGGAGTTGTTAAGGTGCGGCAAAGCACCAGAGCAGTTCTCAGGCTTAATGCACACAAAGTGTTAATAAGCCCATGGAAGCCTCCTTTCTCCTGCTGCTTGCTTTTTTTTTTTTTTTTTTTTTTTTTTTTTTTTTAAAAGCAATATTTTTCAACCTGAATCTCAGAGGGTGCACAGAGCTGTAGCAAAGGACTTGATATGCAGAGGCTCCCATGTGCCCGATCGCCTCTGGCAAAACTAGGCTAAGACACTGTAAGAATGGACAACTTGCAATTAAAAACTACACAGCTTCCACTGGTGTGTTTGCTGTGAGGCAGGGTGTGCTGGGCTGGGCTGCAGGGAAGACCGGGGGCTGCTTGTGGTGAGGCAGAGGCCATGCAGCACCGCTTGAGGCCACAGCTTCCTCTGGGGTCACTGCCTGCACGTTTCCCAACAGCAGTCACATGCAGCTGAAGCTGCTGTCACAGCAGCACAGTGCACGGGTCAGCACTGACTGCAGCCATTGGGCCTGATGCAGGCATGCACTGCTGTGGTTAGCCCAGTGCTGCTCTGTGGGGACAGAGGGCAGTTGCACAAGCAGCACTCTGCTGCTGTCAGCTTTCAGGCTCTCCTAGCCTGCTGCTCTTCCCTTCTGGGCCCAGATCATTCCTCTGTTCTCTGGCTGGATAAGTGCTTTCACAAGAATTCAGGTGCTGTTTGTTGACTGCTATTGGTTTTGCCATGGATTTACCAGAGCCAGACCCAGCTTCCAACAAGCACCACTCAGCACAGATACTGAGGTGAAGGAGCAACAGCTTCTGCAGCCCCTCCTGTCCCTTGGAGGTAGCTATAAAAACAAAACGCACGTTTGAGAGTAAGGTGGTAACAGAGAGAAAAACTGGCAGGGGCACAGAAAGAAGCTGGGCTGTGAGCTGGCAAGGGCCAGGAGCAAGAGTTTGTGCATGTGACAAGTGCTGCAAGCAGTTGCCACTGGAGAGAGAGAGCGGGCACAGTTTCTTTCCAAAGGATGTGGCAATCTGTAAACTGAAACCGAGCTTCTGAAACAGCGGGCAGGAAGAAAGCAAGCTGCTGCCTCTACAAAGCTGAGGATGCTCTTTATTAGTGTGCTTGAAAAATCTAGAGAATATTTTACAGACATGTCCATAAAATTATATTTATAAACAAAACACCAGCATACAAAACCCCCTGGTGTTCCTCCTTCATTCCCTGCAAAATGATTGTCATTAGTCTGTGGGTAAGGTGGGGAGGAAGAGTAAATAGTCGGGGAGGCCCCATACTCAAACTTCTTTTCTTACTTCTTTTCCTTCCAAAAAAAGTAAACTTCTGTGATCTTCCTTGCTTAAAAAATAATACATTGTGTACATGGGGGCAAACCCACATCTTAGTATAAAAAACAGAAAAGCAGCACCTGAGCCCCATAGCCCAGTCCAGGGGCTTCAGTGCTGCTCCCCACACCAGAGCCCTTCTCCCACATGTGAGTAGGTCAGTGCCTCTGCAGCAGAGCGTAAAGCTGCAGCTCCAGAACAGGTCAGTGACAGCCCTGCCACGGTGACACAGACTTTAAACAAAGCCACATTTCCTTTTCTAACCTTCACAACGCCCACCCTGCCCATAACTTGGGAAACATCGCCCCCAGCCCCAGGATGAACGCAGGTAAGTCTTCCAGTCTGCAGTCCCACGCAGAGCAACTGCAAGACAAATGCTGCACTGCTCATTAATTTGTGGTCAAATTTATGGTTTGGAAAATAGCCCTTTAAGGTCCTTCACGGTTCAGCTCAGAATTACTTTCATACCACTTGCAGAGCCCAGAAGGGAAACAAAGAGCTGCCCTGAGGCACCCAGCGAACGCAGCTGTTCAGAGGTGAGGAGCACACATCATGTTGCCTGCCTCTGAAAATCTCATCTTTTCCAAAAAATGTACTTGGGATGTGCGCCCATTCCCTACATCCCACCACCCCATTCACCCAAAGGAAGGGGAAAGCCTCCCATCCCTGCCATATCCACTGTAATCTGAACCTGAGAAAAAAAATCAAACAGCAAGAGGTACGGTGAACCTCCACGCTGACAATGTTCACTCTCAGCACTTTCTGTGGTGTCAGGATAAGAAAGGAACTTGGAGACAGGCTGTCACCGCTTTGCAGTAATGAAACACAAGAGATGAAGCAACCTGCCACAATCCCAGAGTTTACGTGTCAGAGCTAGCCACGGAGCCTTTTTCCCCTCCCTCGTCCTCTCCCAGCTACCTGGTCTGGCAGCCTCCGTGCCAGACAATGAAAAGCAGACAGATGAGAAGAATCATCGTCCTTCACAGTTCTGCATCCAGAACTGTGTAAACAGTAAAGCCCTTCAGCAGAGGATTCTCCTAAGATCCGACCCAGTCAGCACTTGCCAGCTTGAGGAACAGTTCTGCATAGGCGAGAACAAGGGAGGAGGAATGCTGCTGTGCTGACTGACCCTCCTGTTAAACAAAGCAATGACCTACCTGAGGGCCAACAAGCAGTACTATTTGATGGACTCTCTGTAAGTTTCAGCCCCAAGCAGAAATAAGGGTTTGGAGCTGCAAAGTCCTCTCCTTCCCAGTCACTATTTGAACTAATGACCAGCCAAAGTCTTGCCATCTACAAGCAGGTGGCTAAGTGATGGAGCTCACCCAGCAGAATCACCCTTCCTTAGGAAGATGAGAGCTAAAGGGTTTACAGAAGTGATTCTGATCCCAGGCAGTGCCGTGGGCATAACTGACCTGCAGAGATGCAGATACTGCACAGCCACAGCAAAGAGTTTGTCTCCCTAAATTTCTGTCCCCACTATGGTCATAATGCAATAAGATTTCTGCCGCTCACCAGCTTCCACAGAATGGCTCAGGGACAGTTAAATTCAACAGTCAGAACTGAATCTACTGCAGGGACTGCATCCAGGTGTCCCAAGAAGGAGGGAAAAGGCTGCTCTCCACTAGTGCTGAAGTTCCATAGCATCTCCTCTTGCTCTGCAAAAGGAGGGCAGAGAGGAAAACAACAAAAAAACAAAACACCAAGCAAAAACTGCCTCCCTCCCTGATCTTTTATTCCTAGGTTAAGTGAAGCAGACCTTCAAAAAGGGCCTTTTTTTTTTTTTTTTTTTTTCTTTTTTAAATTGTAAGCATGTAGCCTCAGCACACTTCCTGCTGTTAATGGATTACACATCCCTTTCCCCAGGGTCTGTTACTGCTAAGACAAACAGCAGGATTGATCTTGGGAAACAGCTCAGAGGAAGGTCTCCATTTCTGCCCAAGAAGATCACTCTGTGCTGAGCACAGCATCGTGCTCAGTCTGGTTGTAGCAGAGTCCACCTGTTTTTTTGCACTTAACGGAAGAGCTTCTATCCCTAACGCAAACCAGTACATGGAACAGATCTATATACATCATCCCAACATATATGCTGTGAAGTAATACTCTAGGTTATTGCATAGAAGGCAGCTTGCACTAGCCAGGCCTAGATGACGGTCCGGGAACGTTGTCGGAGGCTCAGGGGCTTCAGAGAGCTCTGGGAAGCAGATGCAGACTCTTGCAAAGGTATCTGGGATTCCTCTTTCCTGGAATGTTCCTCATACCATTCCTGTGACAGAAGATCAGAACAGATCAGTCTCTGCCTCAAAGCTGCCACATGGACCAGCAGGACCCCAGTCTATGTGTGCTCAAACTGAGGGGCTTTTTCCAAGGCCCTGTTTATGGCCCACATAAACAACCTCATCAACCTCAGCAAAGCCACGAAGGGTGTGCTCACAGCATTGGGCAAGAAGGAGCAGCCACAGGTCAGCTCCAGCTAGCTGAGCTGTCAGGTCTGACAAACCAGAGCAAGGAAATATCACAGTCAAATGACCCCCAGTGCCCAGGGACTGCCATACTGAATTCCAGTGACATCTGCGGCTTACAGAGTTGCACCCAGGGTATTACAGGACATTACATCCCTGCGTCAGAGACCAAGCACAACAAGCAGGGAGCTTCACTGTGGATTACCAGCTCCACAATTAGTGTGCTTATTTTTGTTAGCAGGACTGAAGACTCATCCACAAGCTAGCTGCCCAGGGGACAAAGGAAATATTCTAATGGTTATGAAATTAATGCCTTCATTGCTAATCATTATACTAGTCCATGACCTTTCAACAGTAGCCAAATTCATGGCATAAGGCTCCTAACCTCAAAGAACACTTAACAGCAGTGCCTTAAACAATCCAGAGAATCAGCTATTCAAACATTTCCCATCTTCATTAGCCTGCTATTCTGAAGGAACAACTGGCACTTGCAGAGCACTTGGCTTCTGTTGCACAGACACACCCAAGCTCAAACAATCACATTCCAGTGCCTTAACAAATTAGCATCATGCAGCCAAGTCCCAGGAACACTCTGTGCACTTAGCCCAGCAACCAATGCCCACCCTCACAAGTATGGGTAAGCTGGGCAAGCTGAGCACCTACATGCAGCCTGCACTGTTACTGCCACTGCTGACGCATATCATCAACACAGCTGGGCTCCTGAACCCACCGAGGAGGCTCTGACATGTTCAAGAAAGCCCCTGAACACCAGCACTAATGAATCCAAAGCACAGTTCCTCTACTGCCTGCTCCTTTCATAAAGCTGCCTGTGTCTCAGAGGGAGAACGCCTCCTGCGTTTAGAAATGTCAGGCAACATGAAGTGTTCTGTTAATGACAGAGGCTTACTGGTATTTCCAACTTACACCCACATACCTGAATCTCCTCCTCATACATCTTCATACTCAAGTCACTCTTGGTCCTTGATCTGCGTCCCAGAAACAGCGTTGACACTTGCTAAGGAGATGGGGGGAAGAAGAAGATGAAAAGATGGCATTCGTCAGTCCCTGAGCAGCTCACAGGAGCTGTGCTGGAACTTCGGTGTGTCACCCACTGGAGAGCCTAGGCTGTTCTCATTGCCAGGAGACAGTGGTATTTTAGAGCACACATCACCTGACTAAACGCAGACATCTGCTCCAGGCTGAGATGTATTTCGCTGGAGGGATTCCTGAAGGCTACAAAGAGCTACCAGCTCTCTACCAGCTACCAGCTCAAATGGACACAGCTGTGTCAAGGGCACTCAATTTTGTCAGAAGAACATACCATCTGGAACAAGGCTCAAACCCAGACTTCCAAAGGAAGATCTCAGCTTAGAACAATTTCAGGTCTCATTTGCTTAGCACATATCACTTACTCCACAGGCCTAGACTTTTTAGATCACATAAGCAGAGGGCTGAGTAATGAATTACTCTCTGCCTATGAGTCATCTGAACAGCACTGAGAACCA